CGCCTGCCTTTATCAGACCTTCGCTAGTTCGAACGGCATCGTAATGGATGTGTATTCTCCAAGTGGGACCAATCCGAAAAATACTTGCAGTAACAACCATGGGTAAGAATAAATAAGGCTGAGATAACATATATACATTCATATATCACGCCTCTATCCCTTGCGGGGTAGGCAAAGCGGAAACAGCTCTGCTGTACAAACAGAGCTAGAATGGAATAGTGTAAGAGCGATGATAAACAGATTTTATATGAAATGAAGTATTTTTTTAATCCTTCTGAAAATAAGTAGGCAGAATGTCAACGGGGCGTTATGAAGTACGTCGTTTAAAATAGTTCTGTTACTTCTATTCTATGTATTTTATGCTAGTCAGGTGCTAGTTTAATATCTCGTGCAAACGCCTCTGGATACGAGTATCTGGCTAATAAAATCTTGTCATGAGGTCACTCATACGATGACCAGGACTTACATTGATTCCCTCGCAGCATTTGCGATTTTACTCTAAGTAGAATGCTTGTTTCCGCTCGTGATTCAAGATAGCGTCCTCGCCCTAAATAAGTCATAAATTTTCCCTTGTCATAAAAACTACTATTTTTTCAGAGTCCGTTCCATCGACTCAGTGTCCCTAATAATGTGGGAAGAACTTGTGCATTACATAAGAAACGATACAGATAAGAGTCGTTTTGCTGTCAGCACCGCTGCATCTTGGCAGAGGAAAGGACGGATTGGCGCCCAGTATTGGACATGCACCAGTGGCTTGGATAGAGCTGACCGCAGTAAAAAGGGAGGCATGTTGATCTGTGTAGATAGGTATGAAGTTTGGTGGGCGTTTGATAATTTAAAGGTTAGGGAGCCCGAATGTTGACGTTTGAAATGTAATGTTATTTTAACTACAGTAGCATACTCATCTTATTCATTACGATTATAACGATATTCCTCGTAATTATTATCAGTAGGTAGGCTATTATTTTTTGAATGGCCTATTACTGTAGCAAGGTCAACTTACTGTAGCTTTATGAGTCACCCTCTCTGTATTTCTTTCTTATCACTAAACTGGATAAATATTGAATATGCATTTTTGTTGCCGAGCGAAGTTTTGTTTTTAGGGCGCTTAAGTAAATAAAATTTAAATTAGAATTAAAAAGAATGTTTAATAAACAACACAAACATTTTATTTACAAAGAAACTGTCCATATCGTTACTCATTATGAAAGCACAAAGATCTAACGATAGGTACTTGAACGTGTAATAAAGGCAGTACAATGTTACTACATGAAACCTTTATTTACTGGCTCCACTGGAAATATAGATTTGTGATACAATAACATACGAGGTTTTCACGCTTCATACAAAAAGTTTTACAAAATTGGCACTATATGAGCTTGAAATATTTACAATTCTCACGCGAAAAAAGCTGCACCTTTTTTTAATTCTTAAATACTAAATTATTCGTAAAATATGTGTGGAAGACAAATCCATCACCATCGAATCGGAAGGTACTTTATTCAAAAGCATAAACCTAATTTAAGTTTAATATTACTCTAGTACCTCCAAAGTTTGGCACAATGCATCCACTATCCCGTGCCTTCGAAAGGGATAAGCAGGTCGAAAAATAAACAAAGTTAATAACACGAATAAACTTAAAGATAGGTGAGTATACGAAAAGGCATTTTCGCCTCTATACTATATTAAATAAACATTATAATTGTTTACAATATAGAGGGCATGACGCACCGTTTTAACATAATAAATTATAACATTTGCAGTGCTTTTCTGCAGTGTAAAATATTAAAAATAGATTGAACAGTGTTATTTTGCTCCATCACCTTTATCTGCTAGGTGATTTTGTGCGAAAATATAATAAAAACATCATAATCTTGTTCTGTCAATTTTATTTTACTGCAATACGTTTCCAGACAAGTAAATTAAACTTCTACTTACTCCGTTTTATATAGGTATCTACAATCTACATTTCATTCAATCGTAACTACCTGACTCCATAAAAAATACATGCTTTATCTGACTGCCTACAAATCATATAAAAAGGAGCAAGTTCTTTACGTATGACAACTCTATTATATAACTCGAAAAACAAAACTCCGTTGCATATAAATTCTATTTCAAAACCGTAAGTATTCACTTGTCCGGAACCTAACAAAACTGAACTTTCCACTTCAACCACAAGACTATCAATGGGCAACCCTCAGAGAAGGCATTCTGGTGAACCAGGAGTCCTGTTTGACCTTCAAGTAGTAAGCATCCCGCGGGGTAGGCGCGGTGAGGGCCTCCTCGAGGACCTTGAGCGCGCTGGTGGGCAGGACCTTGGCGCTGTACTCGGCGGCCTCTCCCGGCATGGTGACCGCGCAGCTGGCTGTGGTCGCGCTCACGTCCGAGCTTGGGGTTTCGGGACGGCTGGGAAAAAGGAAGATAAATAAAATTTTGCACCAAGACTTGATATTAATTTAGTTCTTGTAATCTTTTTTCTAGACTAAATGGAGAAACCTATATTTCCATGCAAAGTGTTTAAGTAGGCACCTCTTTTTTTGAGATCAAGAGAAAAATCACAATTTTCGGCGGTACCACGCACAGTCTAGTTAGACTAGACTGAAACAGTTGAGCAAGCCATTCTACTGTCATGGATCCTGTAGGTACATGTAAAATTTCATGTCGATAGCTCTAAAACTGACGAAGATATGAGGGCGCGGCATACAGACAGACAGACAGACTTGACGAAACTATAAGGGTTTCTAGTAGACTACGAAACCCTAAAAAAGACGTGCTTACTTCACACTCACTCACAGCAGCAATTAATATTTATCTTTAGCGAAAATCTAAATAACCAAGAACTACCTAGCAGGCTGGCTGGGTGGTAGTTGAGCGGGCGGCGCGAAGATCTCGTTAGCGGACAGGTCGGGCGCGTGCAGCAGCACCACGTGCAACGCGCGCGCACGCAGGGACGCGCGTAGGGCACGCGCAGCGCCCCACGTGCCCCAGCGTACAGCCGCGGCGCCGGCGCTGCCTTCGTCGTTCGGGTCCAGGCGGGACATGTTCTCGCAGGCTGTGTCTGAAGTTAGGCCTGAAAACGTGTAAAAATAATACTTAGATTTCGAAAATAAAACGTGATATTTAGCTAGTGACCGATAGCGAAAATGCAGGAGTATGGCAGGAGAGACTAGTGAAAAGGGACAACTTTCCCCAAGGAACATAGGTAAACCTATGGAAAAAAATTAAGCCCCATACAAGACGGCTGATCAGGCATCAGCTATAAACTTGAGTTACATACTAGTTAGATTCAGTCGAATAAATTTATTTTATTTATCACTGTAGAATAATTTGACACCTAACAAGGTCATAATAGCGCCGAAAGATTGAAGGCTACTAGCCATAATAGGACATTTAGAGGTAAACTGGTACCGGTTACTTTAACCGATTTTAACAACTCTACCACAAATGTGGGATGAATGGAATGGGATGAACCAGTCCATGAAACTGGATGAACAAACAGTCGATATTAAAAAAGAAATAGTACCTACCATACAAGTAAATATTTTAAAGAGGTCCAAATTTTATTTTTCATATTTCGACCCATATTCCTTGGGGAAAGTTTGTTTAGTGTCATGGACTGATACACCATACACCCCTTAAAAATTCGCACTCAACAGATAAGCTACTTACCCATTAATAGCTTCACTGCTGGATGTAGGCGTGCCTGCTATAGGCTGAATATGATGGATGATAAGATTTTCCCAATAGATAAGACAGCTGCTTACCGATATAGAAGAGTCTGCATGGGCGCAAAAGCGCGGGCGACGCGCAAAGCGCCCAAGACATTGCCGCGGGGGCGCTTTCCCCTATAGATAAGATATACTACTTACCGATATAAAAGAGTCTTCCAGCTTTGGCGTGCTGCTGCGCGGCGGCGAACAGAAGGGGCGCAAAAGTGCGGGCGACGCGCAAAGCGCCCGAAATATTGCCGCGGGGGCGCTTTCCCCTATAGATAAGATATGCTACTCACCGATATAAAAGAGTCTACCAGCTTTGGCGTGCTGCTGCGCGGCGGCGGACAGAAGGGGCGCAAAAGTGCGGGCGACGCGCAAAGCGCCCAGGACGTTGCCCCGGAGGGCGCTTTCCCAACACGCCGCCCCCCCGCGTCCGCTGCTGCCGGCCGTGTTAATAACTGCCCATACACCTGGAAAAAAGAAGAATGATTTGTTGAAATAAGGATTGGTAGGTAAGGCGGTGGACTAATCACATCGATATTGAAAAGGGTGTCTATACATAAAAAAAGGGTGTCTATACATAAATAAGTTGTACTAGAAACTGTCTAATAGCGTTTCAAGATTTCTTAAAATATTTCCGGCTAGTTTTCTTTCACGCGTCACATTGAATCAGCACCATAAAATCACCACAGGCAAATACTCAGACCGAACGTAATTTGTAACAGCGTCATCTATACTCGCACTAGCTAACTATCTTGCCGGAACACGCCGGCCGCGGCTCCTCCGGTGTGGTGCGATTCGCGAATTAGCTTTGAAAGTGCTTCATAGGAAAATCACGAGATGGCGCGTATCAACATTTTTGTAGGCTGCTGCATAGAAACAAATTAACATGCTTTCCAGATTAATTCATGTAATAGATAACTTTAACAGATATTAATTTGTCGATCTAAGCTAAAAATTATGACGAAACTTCTTATATAATCATTTTCATACGATTACAATATGGTACACTATTTCGTCATCTTCTCACGAGCACTGCTGGTGTAGTGGTATCATGCAAGATTCCCATTCTTGCGACCCGGGTTCGATTCCCGGGCAGTGCACACTCTTTTTGGTTTTAATTAGCCACGATGTTTTTTATTTTTCCCCATCATTAGCTAGTTTAGATAGTTTTCGGGAATCTTACAAAATTTTCACCGCAGCAGGCAGGATTTGAACCTGCGACCCTTTGTTGGCCAAGTTGCCCACTAGCACTATTTCGCAGGTAACGATTGAGCTCATTGAGCCGCATTAGCCCAGTTCATAGAGGCGTTGGCAGTACTGATGCTGAAAGTCACAGGTTCAAATCCTGTCTGCGGTGAAAATTTTGCAAGTTTTCCGAAAATAGCAGCTAACTACTTACCTATGCAGCACTATAATCTAGCGTATCGATGGCAACCACTACTTATATGATCCCGGCCCAGAACCACCCAGAACTCCGTATTTGCTGTCATCAGATCATCCTGCGTGCAGGTGTTAGGGCACGACGATAGCACTAAGTATAATATAACTTTTTAAGCACTCGCGATTACTTTCACACATATAATACTTTAACGGGTCTTATCGCGATAGTTTTTTAAGTAGGTAAATAGGCAATTTACCTAGAAACTCGACGTTTCGACTGAGTTTCATCAGTCATGGTCGCGGGCAGACTAGAGTCTGAATCTGAGTCTGTTTCTAGTAGGCTAGTACTTGCATGCACTGCCATCCGTTTTTTTACCAGTGTGGGTAAGGAAGGTAGTAGGTACCTGAATAACTTACCATGCTCTCCAGCCGGCAGATGCTGGGCAGTAGCCCTAGCTGCTTCCTCCAGCAGGTCTTCCCTGGCTACGTCCAGCTGCAACGTATTCAGCCTCGGTTGCTGGTCTTCAGTATAGAGTGAGCCACCGATAAGGGTCTCTTACCATGCTCTCCAGCCGGTAAATGCTGAGCAGTAGCCCTGGCTGCCTCCTCCAGTAAATCTTCCCTTGCCACGTCCAGCTGCAGCGTATTGAGCCTCGGCTGCTGGTCCTCGGAGCCCTCGATGGAGTGCGCCTGCAGCCAGGACTCCACCAGGCGCGCACCAAGACCGCCCTGACGACAGCCTGCCAGAACGCGCCAACCGCGACCGCTGAGGTAGGTTGCTATCTGTTGGCAAGTAGGAGATATTTTCTTCATTAGATTTTCATTTCATACATACATACATACGGGGTGTTAGGGACGGTGTAACGAAAACTTTGCAGGCGTGCTCAGACCATGAAACTGAACAACTTTTACTATGGAGCCAATGGCGGGAAACGAAAATTTTCCGGCCTCCCATACAAAGTCAGTCAGCTGATTGTGAATTTTTTTTTCGTTTCCCACCATTGGCTCCATAGTAAAAGTTGTTCAGTTTGATGGTCTGATCATGCCTGCAAAGTTTTCGGTACACCGTCCCTAACACCCTGTATATCACGCTTATGTCCCTTGCGGGTTAGGCAGAGTGTAAACGGCTGTAAACAACGACCATTTAGTTAGAACACGTCTGACAAAGGTCAGACCATCTGACAGCACCATAGTGATAGGTTGTCAGCCTGTCGCCTAAAATTGCAATACACATCAACTCTCAAATCCCTTCGTTTCTTACGACAGCCTTGGGAAAGATATGGGGTGATGCTATTCTATGCTGGCACCACACGGCTATAGATCTAACTAGGTTCATACCTACAAGATATCAGATCCGGCAGCATAGTGTCAGCACATGGTCAGAGATACTACGGACTCAAAATACGGTTTATTTTTATCGCTAGCACATCAACTTTACCATTTAAGGGATCAACTGATATATTATTCTTATTAAATGTATGAAAAAACCAGTGGAAGTTGAACTCTTACATCCCTTTGTTATGCTGCTGATGGTACCCATAGTACATTCTCGTAACACATTCTGCAACCTTTTCACGCCCTTTTCGGCTAGTAATGAGGCAAATTAGCATGATGTTGTAGTCTGAGGTGCGTGAGGCGTTTGTTGATTTGATTTGATATGTGGATGGTTTTCGAACCTTGAGGTTATGTAACGAAAGATTTTCTGTTGGCACTGCGTCAGCATATTTCAGCGACTTTATATCACACCGAACGGTGTGGATCTATTATATTTTTTACATTATTCCTGCGGAAATTTAAAGATGAAACGCTAGACCAGTAACATTGCAAGTAACATCAGCTAGAATATTATACAATGTTGCAGTGATTTCCAAGCCATATTTTTAAGGTAGGTAGGTATCTTTTTGCACGGGAGAATATCTGCTTCTCACGGGAACTAAGCAAGGTAAAATGCTGGAATGGCTGCTAGAAGTGGCTGTGTAGAAAAATGGGTGTAGAGATGGACTTTGAAGCTTGAATGCGCCTCTGTAATACTCTGTATCTCATTAGGTATGTGAAAGCAACCCTTTCAAAATCACTATTGCCCACGCCTATTCTCTTTTTGTACAGACTAGTATCATCATCATCATGACAGCCCATATCTACCCGCTGTTGAGTATAGGCCTCTTCTTTTTCTCGCCATCTATGCCGGTCCTGTGCCTCCCGCATCCACTGTCTTCCTGCAATGGCCACTAGATCGTCCGTCCATCTAGATCGATCGACAGAACTCTTAATCTTATTACCTGCAATCCAAGAGCGGTGTCCACAGAGGTGACGAGCACAGTCTTGGCTCTGTCGATGGGGTTCACCTCGGTGACCCTGACCTTCTAATATACCTAATACCTATATTCTTATCTTATTACCTGCAATCCAAGAGCGGTGTCGACAGAGGTGACAAGCACAGTCTTGGCACTGTCCATGGGGGCCACCTCGGTGACCCTGACCTTCCTCAGCAGGTACAGCAGCAGGCTTTTTGTACAAACTATATTCTTATCTTATTACCTGCAATCCAAGAGCGGTGTCCACAGAGGTGACAAGTACGGTCTTGGCGCTGTCCATGGGGGCCACCTCGGTGACCCTGACCTTCCTCAGCAGGTACAGCAGCAGGCTTTTTGTACAAACTATATTCTTATCTTATTACCTGCAATCCAAGAGCGGTGTCCACAGAGGTGACAAGCACGGTCTTGGCGCTGTCCATGGGGGCCACCTCGGTGACCCTGACCTTCCTCAGCAGGTACAGCAGCAGCGCCCCCACGATGGAGCACAGGGCCGCAAGCTGCAGGCCCAGGGATAGCCACGTCAGAGGGTCCATGGCTCAGTGCGACATCCTCGGAGTACCTGTGGAAGAAGAGAACGTTAGGTTAGCGGTTTTATTGCAGTGCAGTGATGTCATCCTTTCCCCAGTGACATCTAATCTATGCTCTGTGTTTGCAGTTTGCGGTGCATGTTTGACCTGTATTTGTCAACACTATAAGGCAAGTTCGTCTATTATAGCAAGAATATCTAATTCTAGTTTTCTTCCTGCCTATAGAGTATAGACTATCAAGTGTTGATTCAGCAAAGGCAATCGAGCGCCGAGCGGTGTTTGTTGAACTGTCAGATGTTGTGGAACTAATAGCCGACAGTAAACATCGTTCAGTGCAGTGCTGAAGCGACAGGTCGTTTGCAGTGCATGTTAGAGCTGTGTCTGCCAACACTACATTTCGGGAAAGTTGTTCCTTGTCACCAGCTGGTCCTGCATTTGCGCTTTCTGTCACTAGTAAACTTTCATTACCATCTAGTTTATAAGGTCTTTGAAAATCTCCACTTGCTCAACAAGCTCTGTTGATTCAGCAAAGGCAATCGAGCGCCGAGCGGTGTTTGTTGAGCTGTCGGATATTGTCGAGCTAATAGTCGACTGTAAACATCGTTCACTGCCACTTCAGTGCAGTACTGAAGCGACAGGTCGTTTGCACAGTGCAGTGATGTCATCCTCTCCCAATCGACATAATCTATACCCAGTGTTTGCAGTGCATGTTATATAGAGCTGTGTGTTTGCCAATACTACATTTTGGGAAAGTTGTTCTTTGTCACCAGCTGGTGCTACATTTTCGCTTTCTGTATCTAGTAAACTTTCGTTATCATGTAGTTAATAAGGTCTTTGAAAATCTCTACCTGCCCACCAAGTGTTGATTCACCAAAGGCAATCGAGCGCCGAGTGGTGTTTGTTGGACTGTTAGATGTTGTTGAGCTAATAGCCAACAATTAACATCGTTCAGTCAGTGCTGTAGCGACAGGTCGTTTGCACTCACAGAGCAGTGATGTCATCTTGATGTCATTCTCTCCTCAGTGACTTCTAATCTATGCTCTATGTTTGCATGTTAGGGCTGTATTTGTCATTTGATTTGTCAACACTAGTGCAGGTTATTGTAGTAAAAGTATCGTGAAAATCTCTGCCTGCCTACCAAGTGTTGATTCAACAAAGGCAATCGAGCACCGAGCGGTGTTTGTTGGACTGACGGGTGTTGTCGAGTAAACATCGTCCAGTGCAGTACTAGAGCGACAGGTCGTTTACACTGCATGTTAGAGCTGTATTTGTCAACACTAGTGCAGGTGTAAGTCTTGTGAGGCTAGTCTGCATGAAAGCTTGACTTTTCAAAGAGTTTACGCACATGAAAGTTAGATACCTACCTTCTCAGCAAAATTTTCTGAGCTTTATGGGTTTCTATGTCGAATGTCGATGTATGTTATCTACCAGCCAAATTGTTTAAAGGAACAACAACAAAAGGAGAGTTTTTAGGGGAACTATGAGTATATCTCAGAGTTAATCCATTTTTCGTGCGACATACCTATCATCATAACTGTAACTCTTAACTATGTATGTTTGGTTGGTATGTATGAATAAAGTATTTATTATTCGATTTGCATATATTTAATTGTCGAAACAGACTTTGCAGACTCGCATAAGTTTGGTTAATTATTTTAAGTGTAGGTAACTTACACGTACCTAATCAACGGTCTTTTGTTCTCAAACTAAACAAAGAATATGCTAAAATGCTTTTTGTTCCATCGATACATCTCATTCATCGGTCCCTCATACAAACACTCATTGTTTCGTTGTTTTATGTACAGTAATGGCATAAACGACATTCAACAACGTCTGGAATGTTTTCGTAGCCATATACAGCTGTCATGCAGGTAGGAAGGAACATGAGAACTCGCGAAAATCTTTGATGTCATCATAAACAAAGATAGAGACGGGTTTGCGAACGGTTTCAGAACTACGTATAATACGAAGATAATTACTTAATCAGCAACAAATTGCATTCTAGAATTCATGAAAATCACACACCTTTACATATCTAATGTAAATTCTTCGCTATCAATAATATTTCCCATTGCTGGAATCACCGGGTGAAGTTGGCAAAGAGTCATCATCAGCATCACATCGCATCAACCTAT